CAACACATTCGTTCATTAATTTATATTCTATATATTTATTTGTATAGAGAAAAAAAAAATGTCTACAATGATTTTTACGTAAATGATTTTCTTTCGAAATATAAATCATTACTTTGAATTATTCATTCGTAGAATTAAAATCTAAAGGGGACACAAATTTCTTAAGATTGAGAAAACTTGACGAAGAAAATATTCTGATTCGAGATCGCGAGACAAATACTTAAATAAAGCAAATTAATAAAAGGAACAGAAAAAGAAAAAGAAATGAAAAGAAATGAAAAGGAAATATTGTAATAAATAACGTTAAACCAAAATTAGTATAGACGTACGATAAAAACTCCTGCTGGTACTTTGAACCAAAATTTGGTCTATGAAAAAGATACAATACAAAAAAAAAGAAAAGAAAAGAAGATAGAAAATAAATTCGTGAATGGATAGGAATGACGCATATTTGGAAGCCCTAAGAAAAATCCCTAATAGCAGGTCCAACGAATCCGACTGTTCAATGAAATTTCGAAGGCACAAGGGACCTTGTAAAATATTTTTCTTCGTCATTTTACAAATAGAAACAGTAAAGAGAAAAAAAGGAAAAAGGGACGGGAAGGGAAAGCTGAGTCCTTAAAATAGTCGAGTCACGTTCTAAAGGACGATCGAGGAAACTTTTAGGAAGTTTCCTTTTGTAGCTTTTATATTACGAATTCCTTTATATATTGAAAAACCTTTATGGTGGTATCTTTTCTTATTTATTCTAACTGAGACTAATCGTTTAAAAACATCGAATTAATATCGAATTATCTTACTTTACGATCGATTGAATTTTTCCACGAATAAAAATATATACATATAAATTAATATTTCAATATTATATATAAATAAATATATTATATATCTTGCAAGAGAGAAAGAGAGACAAAACATGTTTAAAATCTAAAATATAATATTATATATAAAATAATACACCATATATGAAATATTTTATTAATATATAAATGGAAAAAGTAAAATTCGAAAAGAAACACTAATTTAAATAATTAAATATAAATTTTAAGTATTTCAAAAATATAAAAAAAAATCTTGAATTTTTCCACGAATAAAAATATATATATATAAAAATAAATTAATATTTTAATATTATATATAAAATAATACACCATATATGAAATATTTTATTAATATATAAATGGAAAAAGTAAAATTCGAAAAGAAACACTAATTTAAACAATTTTAAATAAATTTTAAGTATTTCAAAAATATAAAAAAAAATCGTTAAAAATTGATTTTTAATCTCGATATTCTATACGCCAATCAAATCCAAACGTACAATAATCGAGTATTCCGAATTTCTTTCTCATCTTTCTTACGTGCGATTTGTCATGCACGAATATTACGGATTTTTAATAAGACACGGTGAATCATCGTCATCCGTGAAGATGAGTGTCTCGTATCGGTTCGTTGGCACCGAGTTACAATTTCAAGAAGCGCCGGTTTTCGCGACAAGCACATCTTCTTCTCTTGGAAGGAAAAAGAAAAAAGAAAAAAGAAAAAAAAATTGGAACGGTTGACCATTAACATTATCTCTCTCTCTCTCTCTCTTTCTCTCTTTCCGTCTGTTTGAATTCGCGTGCCAAAAAATCGTAAAGGTAAGTAACGTGCGTCACAGTAAGTTAACATGATCACCACACACACCAGTTGCCAAGTCACATGTGTGTTACTTTTCAATTCGTTATTTCAAAACACGACTGACTTAAATTTTCTGGTCTGGCAAGAAAGTTTTTTTTAAATCGCATGATCAATGAACCAAGAGAGATACTTTGTTTCTTTTTTTATCTCTATTTTATTTTCTATCTTCTTCCGAACAATTTTTCTCACTTTTATCCTCTACTTCCTTCATCGTCAACAGCTTAAAACATAACTGTTCCATGAAAGTTGATATTTCTTTCACACGATCTTTCGTGTTCCCTGTTCAGTCCCCCCCACAAACACCAACCAACCAACCGGCCCTGTCGTCGTTAAGAAATGATCGTAAACCTTGAAGAGGATTTCTAAAAGTTCTAAGCATCCTGCTGATAATCCTAGAAATAATCGTTCAACCGAGACTTCCTACAACAACAACGACTGCAACGACAGAATTTTAAGTTTATAATCATAAAAGAATGAATTTTTTTTTCTACTTGAATGAAATGATTCTTTTTAACTTTTTTAAAATTTTTTTGTTATGATATACATATATATATAATTATTAATACTAATATATATAAT